ACTTAGTAATTATTCAGTTAATCAACCTACTGCCTGTTTTATTGTATCTTATTGCTAAAGTTTGTCTTAGAAATTTATTTTTCCCCTCTTTTTTTCTTTTTGTTTTTCTTTATTTTGTTGAGGATTTTTGGATGGAAATAATATTTGTAAACAGGGTACAGTTGTTTGCAAATTTCAAACAAGATGAGATTCATAATCAGTTTTAATTACCAATATGAAATGATTTGTAAACAAGCAAGAGCATTGCCACTGTGCCAAGGACTAAGATATTTGGAACTTTCAATTAATAACATAATGTGTGGCATGTTAATTGTACCTCAAAAGCTTTTTCAGTTCAGTTTAAATGGACACAGAATGGAAATATTTCCTTATGTAAGGAAAAGAAAATAGTTGCACAGTATGGGAAAACAGCCTCTAAGATTTGCTGAAGACACTGAATAGTTAATGACGCCTCTGAGCTACTTCCACATCCAAGACAAAGAAAGCTATACTTCTGTTCTTATCAGCAGATGTTCTTTCATATTGTATATCAGGCTGATTTGATTAAATTAGTCTGTAAAGCTCAAATGAAATATGTCTCCCAATTTTTATTCTGATTTTTTCCTGACAATCTCTGATAGACATCATAATAAATGAGACCTGTCCACAATAACTGTAAAGTTTCCAAACTGGAATTACATCAGCTCATAGGAACACTTACCTTACTTTGCTTGTAAATTATCTCACAAGAGTCTTTTGTTTGTTTAATGTGTACTTGTACCATTGCATTGTAGTTTCTGTAGTTTCATGGTGACCTTAGCAGTATGAAAGTTGGATCATAGTGCCCTGTCTTCAGGCTCATTTTAAAAGGAATGAAGTTTTCAGTAGAGATATCTTGAAAAGGAAACCAATATTTTGCCTTACATTAACTTCAAAGCTCATGTCCTTCTTTGTGTACATGTAACCTCATTGTGTTTGTTAGTTTACCCACCAAGCCCACATGTTCAGGGGTGGTTAACAGGCTTAAGTTAGACCCATGGAATTCCTGAGTGAAGCAGATAATTCCAAACATGTCTAAATTAATGTTCAGTTTCTTCATTTTGCAGTTTAGTAGAATTTTCCCATAAAAATAATCACAAAATAGCCAAACAGGTATATGTTTTTCTCTTGGAAATTATTTTCTCTCACCTACACCAAGCTGCTTTTAAAGTAGTACTGTCACTATCCTGGGACTTTTCCTGGGGGAAATAAAATTAATTCGGAATGGTCCAAATTCTGTCAGGCAAAAAAGGCCTATAGGAAAGATAGAGAAATCACTTCTCCCTTGTACTTCATTTTGCCAGAATAAAAAAGAATGAAGGTACTAATTACAGGAAAAGGGAAAGATTGAAGCTAGACTGTTCTGTCTTTTAGATACTTCAGAATCCACTTCAAAAGGTACTTCAAAACATCCCTTGGCAATCAAGTCCAAAAAGCTGAAGAGCCTAAAAACTGAGACATTCTGTGCAGTGGTGGGATTCAAATATGTGAGCAACCGGTTCTCTGTGTGGATGCCACTTCCAGTCCATTCTGGGCCTGAGCAACAAAAAATTAGCTACCAGTTCTGCCGAAGTGATGCAAACTGGCTGAATCCCATCACTGATTCTGTGATGGCCTCCCTGGACACCAGCTTGGACAAGGAGGAAGAGCCAGTCCCTGGGACTTTGGAGGAGGGAGCAAACTTCTCATAGCAATACCAAGACGTTGCCAAGAGCTCCAAGCCAGGAGTAGAGAGGCCAGGCTCAGTGGAGAGGTTGACGGAAGGGTAAACAGACAAACAGCCAGCTGATGAGAAAAAAGAGGGGCACAGCTGCAGCTGGAGACACCAGAAGCCCTGTGGGAAGATCAAGGAGGAAGAAGGTGCACAGCTGCAGGTGGTCAGCAGAGATGTGGAGGAATTGCCTCCTTCACCTCCTCCACAAATGTGCAGAACTCAGGCACAATGAAGGTCAGTGGGGCTACTTGTGAGACAGCAGCCTCACACTTCCTGTTGAGCTGCACTGGTCAGTAGCTATTTAATCCATTTCATGGAGCATAATATCACTGGGAAAAACTCGTCAGTTTCTCTCAGTGCATTCATTCAGCCATCATCATTCTTGCCATGGATTTAAATATTGACTCTGCTACTGGACTTGAATGCTGTTTTTGGACTTTGGACTTGCTTCTTTGACATTTGACTTGGATTTTGGTTTTGATTATTTGTACTCAGACAGTGAAGTTGTCTATGTACTCTGAACCTGTTGAGGAGATTTTATCAGCTTGTACTGTGTTTCCAGACAGGAGAATTGGATTGATTGAGGTTTGCACTAGTTCCTGTGGGGGTAGGAGTGGTTTAATACTGGGAATACTATTTGGAGTTGATGAAGCCCTAATAAAACTTCAACCCTTGGGGGAGGCATGTGTGGAGCATAACAGGACACATTCTTTAATAATGAGTTTTTATCCTGCTGTATGTTTTTTTCAGCATTAAGAAAAAATTAATTTTAAAATGGATTATTGAAGAATAAACCTGAGGAACAACTTGGCTCCAGTTGAACTTTGACATTTAAAAAAATAAAATTTTAGAACAGGACCAAGATATTAGAGCAAGGGTGTCAAGTTTGCAACATCATGTGATGTGTTGTGACGTATTGCAACTTTTTTTCCATTGCCGGCAATGGGGTGGGCACGGTTTCACCATGACACATCCAGCCCATGGGCTGGCAGTCTGACACCCCTGTCTTAGAGTAATTTCCTTGCAGATTACATTGCAATAGGAGAGAAGCACAGTAATAAAGGATATTTTTTTGAAGCTTAATTTCACATGTCATTATGTAAGGCTGTATAAAGGATTCTTATCTGTGATTCAGGAAAGTTGCAACAATGGTCAATAATTCAGAAAATGATAGTTGTTGTACCAAGCTACCAAGTCTACCACTTGAAGACAACATAACACAGAAGGTCAGATAAAAGCTTCCTAAACCCTTCTTCTCTTATTTCAAGGGAGGGCACCTTCGTTTCCTGGTAATCCATATGTACAGAATTAAGCTTGATAGGCCAATGCTTTGACAAAGAGCATGTCTTGTTTCCATTCATCCAGTCACCACAAACAGTGTGAAGTCAACCTGGAACTGACTTTACTTCTTCAGTTCTCTAAATGCTGATAACAACAGAACCCCATGAGCCAATCAAAATTCAAAAAGCATAATTTAATTGGCACATCTCCTTCTGGGGAAGGAGACAAGGTCCCTTTAATTTTCAAGATCATTCCTACATACCACTACAAGACCCAGCAAGGAAAAATCTTCAGTTCTCAAAACATTAGCAATATTGAGACAAGGTTGAACTTGGCTCCAGATTAGAGTGGAAAGGACACAAAGATGCTTTTCCAAATGGCAACTGGACTTTCTTGGTTTTTCCATGACAACAACTCTCATCCAAAAAGCTTCTTCTTCTTGGATGAGAAACTAAACATTTTCAAAGAAAAAACCCAAAAAAAGTCTAGTTGCCTTTTGGAAAAGTACCTTTGGGACAATCATGACCTGGGTGATTGAGAAAGAACACAATGATTTTTCCTCTTTGTTCTCCTTTTTATGATAAAATATCATATATATTTTGTCTGATGAATAGCAATGTTTTTTTAAAATCAAACGATATTATATCGATACAAGCTCACAAAATTCATCAACAAAAGCAGTAAGTGCTTAGCAAGTTTTCATAGCTGTTTATTCATTATAAATAGTAAATATTTACTGCGCTTTTTTAATATGAGATTTTTTTGTTTTTACAACACATATGTTGTTGATAGAGAATGTAACATAAAGATAGTATTTTGTTCAATCACTCTTTAAGACCGATGTGTGAACTAAATTCTATATCACGGGTGTCAAACTCACCACGTCACATGACATGTCACGACATATCATGACTTTTTTTTGCATTGCCGGAGCTGGGGTGGGCACGGCATCCATATGATGCAACCAGCCCAAGGGCTGGCAGTTTGACACCCCTGTTCTATATGATATCCTAGTTCTACTAAATTACTAATTTCGTTGAACTGAATGCTAAAAGGAATGAATTTGTGCTCTACCTCACTCGCCATTCCAAGAACAAAGAAAAATAAATAACACTGCCTGCCATCTTCCTGTCCCTCCTAACATTTCAAAAGACAAATTTATTGACATTTGAAAATGTCACAATGCAAAATGTATGTAAACCTTAGTTTCCACTGAATTATATAGGATGCAATTGTATAATTTAAAATTACATGACAACTACAGAGACATAGTGATTTATGCCCTGCATTTTCTAGAAATAATGTAAACATAAGCATTTTAAATGTAGTATCTTCCCCCCAAAGTCCCTTTTGATCTAATGGAGATCATCCAAGCAAATTGTGACACCTCTACATACTAAAAGAGTGAAATATGTATTGTAAAAATAAAAGTACTTGGAAAAAATATAATTTCGATTCTATATATAATGCCTTGGATGCTGCCAAAGCTTGGTGAGGTACGCCATATTGCACATTGTTAAGCAGTCATAGAAATTAAAGTTATTCTGTATTTTTGCTTGTTTCTTTCAGGAGGTAACATGGACTAGGAAAATTTCAAACACAAACAATCTTGCAAAACTTTTCTTCATGTTACAAAATAAGTCATTTGCTGTTATGAAGAAAAGTTCTTTTGTATATGACACTTAGCAACAACAGGATTACAAAAACAAGAAGATAACCAATAACTTATTTGTGGAAGTCTCCAAACATCTAGTCTAGCATCCTACAGACTTTAACATTTCCTTTCAAGGTCATTTTCCAGTGTGTTAAACAAGGTTCTTCAGCCCATGCTTTGCAAACTGGGCACTGTCAAAAGTCGGCACTGAAAGTTTCAAAAAAATGTTCTAATTTTGCAGCATTCAGATCACAATGTCCAAGTTAATCCATGGATCTTCATCAGTCTAAAAATGGAATGCTTACTTCAGCCCAGCAATGTGAAAAACTTTATTATTCTTATTTGTTCTTAGCTAATGCCATAGTGAACTGAACTCTTATTTGTGATACTGCTTGTGGTCTTTATTTTCTGAGCTGCTTTACCCAACCTGTTCAAACACCTTATTGAAAGCACTGATGAGAAAAGAATAGTCCCGTTTATCACTAGTACGATCTCTGCATTCTGGGCCTCATTTTGTGTGAGAAGATTGCTCCATTCCAAATACTGGAATGAGACCAGGACCAAGACCAACTTTAATGTGAAATAGACCATTCACTTATGCAATATCTGGCTTCAGATAATGAAAGGCACCTGTAAAAAATAAAAGAAAGAAAGAAAGAAGAAGCATAATAAGCTTTTAAAGTCATGCTATGACAACCCCACAGCAAGGGGCAGTGTCAACTACAGGTTGACATTGTCATATTTAATACTGATATATCAAAGGAAAGGGACTAATATGCTTATTCTTAGACAAGTTTGACAAAACTCTATGTATCTGGGATTATATACTATAATGATTCTTGAGCTGACCTCATTAAGAACATGTGTTTCTAATAGTGGAATGCCAGTGGTTATTTCATTTTGGACAACCCCTCTGTTTTACCTAATGGCAATCAGGTTTCATGTCTCAACAATTAATAACATCAAGATGTTGTTGACATCACTTTAGAAAATAATTATGCAGCAGAAATGTTGCTGAAATAATCTACCGTCATTGTAGTAAATGTATCTAACTCTACAATAGGAAGAAAATACATTTATTTGTTTTATTCCAAGCAAATATTATATTGTATTATTAAGGATAATGTATATCAAATATATCTCTTTTACTAATGTGTATGCATTTTATGGTTTGAGAAGCATCATGACCCCATCAAGTTTTAATAGAATTTGATTTTTTTAAAGTACCATGTTTCCTATCTCTCAAAACTTACATTTCAGTACAATGGTGAAATTCTTGTTGCTATATACCACAGTCTTTATTATAATATCTGGCTACCCATCAGATTTTGTTGAGAAAGATATCACTTTCCTTCCTTTCTCCAAACCATTGCTGGATTACATTTTTAATCCCACAAACAATATAGAAGGCTGGTTAGGAATCAGCAAGGTCACTGAAAATACAGTAGTTTGCTCATGCACACAGCATCCCCCAAATCATCAAGAGATACATCAAGGCAGCCTTCGCCAACTAGGTTTCCTACAGAGATCCTGAATGGCAGCCTCCACCATCACAGCTAGCATAGTCAACATTACCTGGGAATATATTAGCTAGGATTGGTAACTGTTCATCCAAGTTATTTGAATGTGGCCAGGCAAGGAAAGGATTGATTAAGGCATTGCATCCAATGTGGTGCAAGCCAATATAAGTACAATTTTACTGATCTGGTTAAAAGCTAAACTTTGAGTATCCATGGGGAAAGAAGGAAGGGGAGGCTAATCACACAAGCACCTTGAATAAATACTTGTTAAGATATCTTGACACAAGTATGTAATCACATAATTTACACAATTATATCATTGTGTTGTCATTATTTTGGCATCATCGAGTTTCCTGCAGATGTTGCTGGGTTGAACTATACTTATCTGATCATCACCATGTACAGTAGAAAGGACCAGCCTCTAAATATAGTCAGTCCAGAACTAATCTCCCACAGGTTTATGACTAAATATTTTTCATAAATTGGCCATAAATTGGTCCAACCTTTTGTCTAACTGCTTAAGGCAGTATGCAAAGTTCTCCTGCCTTCAATTTTAGCTCAACAATACTGACTTTGTTGGGGCAGACAATCGAATTCTGCTACTCAAGTTAGGTTGCCCAGCCAAAGATAGTTTTGAACTTGGTTTCTCCCAGTCCAAACCAGCACCTTAATTGTTCTGCAGTTGATGATTGTTCATTGTTTGAATGAGACTCTTGATTGGTTAAAAAAACCAGAATCTATGATAAAGACATAGATTCCAGGAACACACATACATTGTTGATGACTTAATACTCACTTTGTCCATATTGCCCATACTGATAGCCTGGGACAGGATCCATACTGTAAGCAGTAGTGCTGTATGTTGGTGGGCAGTACGACTGAGATGTTGGCAGGCTATCTAAACTTTTCATATGATCTAGTCTTTGACTACAGCTTGCAGACACTGTGGTGGTTGGCTCTAAACCCCCAGTTAATGGTGACAAGGCGTAGTCAGTTTGGGGTTGGTGAGGGACTCCTCCATGGTTAGTTAAGAGGCCCATTACCTAAAATAAAAAAGAAAGGGAGAGAAGGTGAGGTTAAGTAGTAGAAAAACTATATTTGAAGCAATCCACAAATTACTTTATTATTTTTGTATCTATTATTTGATTTCTGTATAGACACATCACATAAATGTCAGCAATAACATATAACTGGCATTTTATTCTAATATACAAACATTCTGTATTTGATCCCAGAAAATGTCTTCTTTGGTTTTCTAATGTGTGATCACAATGATATCTTTTATATGTAACCAAATGAAGTTTTTCCCAAGATTATTTTTAAAGTACTAATATTCTATAATATCAGAATATAATAATCTTTATTGTTCTGTAAAAAAGAAACAACATTTGTGGAATCTGGTTTTCCCATTAAAGAGTATATGTTGTTTTCCAGTCACATGGTAGCAGATGCCCAAGCTGTAAAAACCAGAGTGTGTCCTGATCAAGATCAATATTGTGCATATTATAACACAGATACAAACCTTTCTGGTATTTTATGTTCTCACACAACAAAGAAGGAGCAAGCACAGCCGTTCTGGCCCCACTCTTTTGTTTCCCATCCTTGCCTGTTACCTTGTGTTGCAGGCAAAGATGCTTGTCTGCTGCCAATGACATTCTTTAAAATGCTACACAGGGCAAAAGAACAGTAATACTAGCAAAGAAAAGACAGCATCAAATCTAAGCTACAATTTTCTTTAAACTTGATTGAGAAATTATGGCTTTAAATTTACAAGGGAAACTAAAACCAGTTGCAAGATCAAAGATAGTCAAAAGAACTAGAAATGCCCTGTGGAGGTTCAAAGAGAGATGTGTTTGGTTTGGTTGTTTTAATCAACAACCTCCCAAACATTTAGACAACAAAAGTCATTAGCTGTAGTGTATTTTTATTACTCTTGAACATTGAACTGAAAATCCTTTTCTTTAAATCTCTTATGTGCACTGCAAGGCCTGCATAATGCATACTTTGCAAAATACTCACACACACAGTATATAGTACATATACATATAAACATATATATATAGAGAAATAGATTATAATTTATATTATATTATATTATATTATATTATATTATATTATATTATATTATATTATATTATATTATATTATATTATATTATATTATATTATATTATATTATATTATATTATATTATATTATATTATATTATATTATATTATATTATTATTATCATTGTCTTGTGTTAATCATATTATTAAACATGCAGCATAGCACTTCTTAAACTTTTCAACATCATGGGACACTTTTGTTTTATATTAATGAGGAAAACCTATGATTTTTAGACTAGCTTGTTTTGCAGAAAACAGGTATGAATTTGCAAAAATAATTGAACCATCTACCTTCTTGAGCACTCTAGTAAGTTTACAGTATTAAACACATCCATAAAATTATTTTAACCTCTAAAAATGTGTTGTCTTTTTAACACAACTGTCTCTTCCCAGAAAAAGCCCTGTAGAAGAGGAACATCAACTGCCTTTTTAAGGAATAAAGGATGGATGTCATCAACGGTAAATTTGATTTATAATGTGTAGTTATGACTGAGGATACTGTTTTCTGAGTTTCCATCACCATAGTGTCTCTAGGAGTATCTGTAGCAGCCTCTATAGATAGCCAGATTCTGTATTGTGGACAGATTTTATCTGGAGAAGAATCTTGAAGGTGGTGAGGCTAACATTATCATAGTTTCTCTGAAGCTACAGAAATACAGGTTAGCAGATGTTATAGACAGTGATTCAGGCATTTTTTCTTAGATAGGAAGTTAGGACCACACTGAGTAGATGAAATTTTCAATTGGACCCTTCATTGTAAATGAAAATCACCAGAGTTCATTCAATGGCTACAGCCTTACTAAACTTGGAATAAATCCCTTTATAAACTCACTGGAATTTTGTGAGTTGCCCCATACAAACTTTTGCCTTACATGATATAAATGCAAGCAGCTGGTATACAACTTCAAAGTCCAGCGATTCAAAAAACAACAACCCTAATCTACAAATGCTGTTTACTCTCTTTTTTAAAAAGCAAAATAAAACAAACAATAATAAAATCCCATCCTAAATGTTGCAAGCCTGTTAATATTCAATAGTTGTAGTAAATTAATTTGGAAAACAGCTGTTGAATTCATAAATTCCATTTACTACTTTCACTAATTAGATTTAATTACATGAATTCCCCAGTTGATACACTGGAAGAGAAAAGAACAGGATTTTAATATTTTTCCTCTACAGGGCTTGAGGGGGTGTTGTGTTAAAAACCCAGGAATCAGAGATTTTTAAAAAATGTTATACATTTTATGGGTATTTTTAATATACTATTGTTAACTTGCTATAGTTGCTCAAATAGGCAGAATGCAAATAATTGCAATTAAATAAGTATGTCAACAGTTTCCCCCAAATTTAATTCTGCAAGTTATTATACCTCTGCAATTTTAAGCTCAATGAATATACCACAAGTTTTAGGAGGTCAAATTTTGCTGACTCAAACTAATTTTATAAAAAGCTAATTTTATACTAAAATATCAAGCAGAATTTACATTTTTAATCCATAATTTTTGAATAAATCTGTAGTTCTGCCTTTTATTGTGTGGCCTTTCAGTATGCCAGTATTTCTTTTGAGTAGCTTTGAGTGGTATTTTGGTCCATAATATCTGTGTGGGGTAGAGTAGAATTATGCTTTCCAAGACTTCATTCAATTTAGCAAGATATTACGATGGTCCTCTTTTCTGTTCTAAGCTTTGTAGTATTTGGAATTCATATTTCATTTGTAACAGGGATTACTCAATTCCAGATTCTTGACTATCATTTTAAAATTTGCTTCCATCTTGTCTAAACTGAATAAAAATACAAGCAGATTAAATTAAATTAAATTACCGGTAAGTTTTTAATCATTATTATCAAGTATAGGTGTTATGCAGTAGCTTTGAGGATGAAAAAAAGTGACATCACTACTAAACTGGACCAAAAGTGTTGTTTCAGAAATATCTTCAGAGGCTTTCAGACTTGTGCTGCAGTTGATTAGCATCTAAATAATTAGATTTTTGGGTCCATGCTGTTTGAAAGTCATAAGGAAAGTAGCCTAAAGGCAGAAACTCTGCCTTGTGATATGTGTCATGACCTTATAGCACTGGAACAAGGAGTAACTGAAAGGGCACTGTTGGCTTTCACCTAACTGCTTGGGCTAATGGAGAACTTATTCTGAGACACATTTAAAAGTTTGTTTTCCCAAGGAGTCTGCAAGGGATAAATAATATACACTATGCTTCCCCAATGAGGTATCTTCCAATGGCACCTGCAGTTTTCTTCTTTCCCATCCCAACCGGTGTAGCATACAAAAAGACATTTTCAGTTCCTGCATTTTCTAGTGATATAAATTCAACTGTAACAGATTCTTTTTCTAAGGTTGTATCTTTTCTGGAAAAAAAAATATCATTGCAATTTAGATTATTGTTATTTTACAAATACGTGAAAGTGGCAAAAATAGGTGTCCTCAAGTTTGACTCCTAGTGAAAGCATCCATGCGGTTTTCCTGGCAGCAGTATAGAAGCTGCTTTTTCCCACTGCCTTGTTGTGGGATTAAGTTATCTATTTATTTGCTTCCTAGTCTGGTCAAAAGTCTTAGCCTTCAGAGATAGTCACCCATAAAAGTACTAACTAGGATAGAGTTCACTTCGCTTAGCTTCTATGGTCAGTCAAGCCCATCTAAGTGCTGCCACCTACTGAGATTTATAAAAAAAAATATGAATGGGGAAGAGGTGTATTTACATTATTTACTTATTTGTTAAATTTATTTGCCACACTTTTCGCCGTGGGGCTACTTGAGCTTGACATGATTCCCAAGGTTCTTACTGCTGCTGTGGTTGGTTTTCTTTAAAAAATTGTATTGTTGAAAAGCAGACTTCTGCATTCATTATATTAAAGTGTTATTTTAGCAAATCTGATAGAAGAAAGACCATACTATTTTGAAGTTCTTTTAAGGCAACATTGTTTTATGTATATTATATGCATCATACATTTTAATATGAGTCTTCTTTGAACTTCCAACTATAAAAGAAAAAGAGAAACAAATATGAACTAAATCTATTCATGTGTTAGCTGTTTGGAATATGGATTCATTCCTGTTAACTGCTTCAGAAAGAAAGGGGGGGAAAAACCTCAGAAGTTCAGTCTAACATGGAGTTTATTTGTTTCCCTGACAGACTTCATTCAGTTTTTGTTTACATATCTGTGTAAATTTCAGCTGAATCAAATGTATTATTAAATTGGATTCTACTCAAATTAGATGAAAAGTGAAAAATTGTGTCCCTTTAATCAAAGATCAAACTCTTTGATTTATGTAATTTTTATGTAACTGAAGCAAAAAAGTAAAATGAAATATTTCCAGTACAGCAGCAATTTTTCTTCACAGATAATACCTATATATTTATTATGTTTATTAATTACATCCACTAACACATAAGTATCTAGCAAGGAGTTATAAAATATAAAACAATAGAGTAATAAAACAAAAAATATCACAAATAATGAAAATGAAATATAACATGAATACTGAAAATAAACATTAAACATAAAGTCGTAATGGTACAGAAACGTGTAGGTACACTCAAATAATGAAGACTGTTACTGATTTTGGAAGAAGTTTCTACAATTTAGGTGCTATTGATAGAGGGACCACTCTAGAGAGGTAGACATTTATCTGAACTCTAATCAGTGCTGGGAGTGAAATATCAGATGTCTTGTAATTAATGCACAATTACAATTAGGCCTCAGCATATAAATTTAATAAATAAATATGCACTACTGGGGCACAACTATATTATGAGCTTATATACAGCTTATATACAAGTATATTATGAGCTTATATACAGTACAGTACTATTTATTTAGTAATAGTTTCATTTAGTGACTGTTTGCAGTGATGAAAAAGCAATTTTACAACCACTCCTCACATTTACAATCTTTGAAGGTCTTTAAAGCAAAGCAAAGAAG